AAGTTATAAGCGAAAAACTTTTGACCTGTTTTTAGCGAAATTTTTACATTTATACCCCCCAAAACCCCCCTAAATATTGACCTAGAGTAACCAAATTTGCACAGGAGCGGGAACTCTAGGGGGCCCACCTACCTACCAAATTTGGTGTTTCTAGGTGCCATAGGAGCCAATCGCGAGGGGGGGTCGCATCGACCCCCCCCCCCTGCCAGGCCGTGTTATGAAAAATGCCCTGCCAGGGCGAGGGTTAAAATACCAGTGACAGGTTCCAGATGGTACACTCGAGGGCAGATTGATGTTCTACAACTCTTTATCCACCGGGTTCCTATGGCTCAGCATTGGCAGCAGCCGCCTGGTACCGGTAGACTGTGCCGCTTCACTTACTTGTCAAGCGGCACAGCCTACCCACACCGTATGCCACCGGTCTGGGTCGGTGGCTGGAAGGCGATGTGGGCCGCCTGTGACGTCAGCGCAACGGTGAGTGCCGAGCCCGGAGGCATGGCTCGGGTCGGCGCGGCGCGGCGGCTGGCGAGGGCTGGGGAGTGAGGCGGGGTGGAAGCATGTATTACGCATGGACCATCGCGCGGCTGGGCGAGCGTAGTTAACTTTCGCGTCTCGCCAATTATTCTACCTAACAATTGTGCTAAAGCAGTTGTTAAAATGTCCTATCCCCAAGACAGCGCTTATCATCATACTTGCCATGCACATTACGACACACTTACTCGTAAACGTGGTATTGGGACAGCCGATAGAATTTATATCACACGTGCATCGAGTTGCGGAGCTACATTGTTTATAACAGATAAGTATTAAGGCCTTGATTGAGCTCCTTGGTGTCTATTATTTCGCACAGCAATCGTCCAGAGACGTGGGAACTGGGGTTTTTGGATAGCGCGGCGTCCCAACTTTAAGCAACTCTTACTGTTCCTCTAATGTGTGGTCGCAGCCACCAATAGCAAACCGTTCCAGCTAGGAACAAATAAGTCGCGCACCTGGGACGGTTCGAACCGGGTTTCTCCAACCGGTCACCCTACGACACCAGCGTGTATCCACTGAGCTGCCGAAACCAGCGACCACCCGCCGCGGTCAAACGCGATCAAATATCACAATACTGTCATTGGCGGTCAGCGGGTAAATGTCATTTTGTTTTGTGCAAATGAGGGCCATATTCGGTAGCTCAGTGGATGAACGCTCGTGTCGTGAATTGGCCGGTGGGGGAAGCCCGGTTCGAACCCTTCTCAGGTGGTCGAATTTTTGGCTCCTAGTTGGAACGGTTTGCTATTGGGGGCTGCGACCACATATTAGAGCAACAGTAATAATCGCTTTAAATTGGGGCGTTGGCAGTGGCACTACTCATAATCCCCAGTTCCCACGTCTCTGAACGATTGCCGTGCAAAGCAATAGACACCAATCTGCTCAATCAAGGCCTTGATACTAATATGTTATACAAAATATAGCTTCGCACCTCGATGCACGAGTGACATAAGTTCTATCGGCTGTCCCATTGCCACGCTTAAGTGTGTCGTAATGTGCATTGCAAGTATGATGATAGGCGCTGTCTTGGGGATAGGACATTTTAACAACTGCTTTAGCACAATTGTTAGGTAGAATAATTGGCGCCTTGAGACGCGAAAGTTAACTACACTCTCTCAGCCGTGCGATGTCCGTGCTCCCACCCCGCCTCACTCCCCAGCCCTCGCCAGCCGCCGCGCCGCGCCGACCCGAGCCATGCCTCCGGGCTCGGCACTCACCGCTGCGCTGACGTCACAGGCGGCCCACATCACCTTCAAGCCACCGACCCAGACTGGTGTCATACGAGTGGGTAGGCTGTGCCGCTTGACAAGTAAGTGAAGCGGCACAGTCTACCGGTACCAGGCGGCTGCTGCCAATGCTGAGCCATAGGAACCCGGTGGATAAAGAGTTGTAGAACATCAATCTGCCCCCGAGTGTACGTTTGAGTTAGCGCCAGAATTGGAGGACGGGATCAGCGGGAGGGATTACTCCCGTCATCGGGCATCGACCAACGCACTCTGACATTTAATCATCACTTGATTTAACGGGCTCTCAGCTAATTGCCACTGTCGGTGTGCGGGATACGCAGCAAGATGGCTCAAAATTGTATGGAAGGATCGCAATTATGTGCCACGAACATATACAAAAAACCAAATTGGATAAATTCGAGAAAAAAAAACTCCGAGACTTCAGATGCGTCATCAGATGAAAACTGCTCAAGTTGAAGGAAAACATGTATAGTTTACTGTCGAGATGGGAAATCCCGACCCCCTACAGCAGTATCACCTAGCCCACTAAGATACTTCACCAACTGCTGGTGTCTCTGCCGGGATACGAGGCCCCCCGACCCCCCCCCCCCCCGAGCAGCCAGCGGGGACAGGGGAGGGGAGATGATTAATATCAGCTGTAATACCGACATTGTATGTTCCGGTCCAATCACAATCCAGCAGGTAGCTGTGCGCGTGTGAGCGCAGGGATCTACTGACCACGGCACTGAACCACGGCACATCTCACTGTGTCAGTGTTACGGCAGCACATCATAGACACATTGGCAGATACAGAGCCCCGCTACCAGACATGTGCTTGGATCCGGAAAAATGGATCTGAGATCCGATCCCATGGATCCCGATCCGAGATCCATTCAGATCATAGATCCAACCCCTCAATTTTGTCGAGAGATCTACTGGGATCATAGATCTGACCCTTCAATTTTGTCGCTAGATCCACTCGGATCATAGATCTGGCTCCCCAATTTTGTCGTGAGATCCATTGGGATCATAGCTCATAGGTGCTCAAAATGTTAACAACTTTCTTTCATAAGAAGTTATGAATACCAAAGCATGGTTAGAAACAAACAATCTTATACAAAGACCATATTAGTAAAGGCATCCAGTTACATTATACAGATACAAAATAAAGGAGGCTCATGACGGTCACAACTTGAGAGAATTGAGTGACATGAAGATTGTTCACATTCACATACCAACAGAAAAGTTTGCATTAACAATTAACATAGAGGTAAGTCAAAGTAATGACTAATGAACAATACATAACTAGGTACCTACCACATCACAATTCATGTTAGAATCTACATAATGATATTGATAAGACAATCTCATTGATCTTGCATTCGACAACCATGAGGCTTTCCAGTTTCCAGCTAACCACAATTGATTGATAAACAATAAAAGATGATACTGACACATGTGGCTTGGTTAGATAAAGGTATTTCAATCTATTGAAAGAAATATTTGATAAAATAAACTGAGATATAAACAAAAGTATAACAATATTCAACATCCTGCGGAAGCGATGGGAAGCGAAATATCTATGGAAATATCAATTGTAATGGCCTTGGATGTTTACCGTAAAATGATTATTCAGTATCTAAATTGAACTCGTGACGTCATTTCAAATAACAAATGAGCTAGGCGTTCTACCTTCGAGTATAATGAAAATAAATAAAAAATCAAACTGGAAATTCAAAAGTCTGGAGCTTTTTTTAAAAGAATGTTCATTTTTTTCTGCCTCACATAATTTTACGATACGATTGTTTGTGAATATCATCTTTGTAGCGTTGAATTTAATGACGTAAACGTAAGCTGAAACGGTATTATATGGCCCTGAGCGGTGTGCGCCTTGCAGCTTTATTTTCTTCACTTTTCAAAAGAATAACAATATCTTACGTCATTAGTTTAAAGGGCCTACTACGGGGAATCTTTTGGAATCATTACGGTCATGGTCAAATTAAGATTTTTCATTGGTCAAACGATAATGACGTAATAAAACCATATTACCAAAACGTTAGCTGTGAATTTCGTTTGTCTTTTTTTTGGGAGGCTCTCTCATAACAAAAGCACAGCATGGCACCACACGTGGCACGACGGCCTTGGCACTATGCCAAAAGTAGGTAATCTGAAGAAGTTGATGCCATTTTTGAACTTGTAATTTTATTAGGAAAGTATTAGAGGTTGGTTTCTATTCTTACTAAATCGAAATTGTGTTGCACATACTAATAGCTCATATGAACATTCTGGATTGGGATTTCATACCTGGCAGAAGTGGATTGCTGGATTATTTTTAACAAAACTGACCTATTTGGCTTCCAGGTTTGATTTCCTAACATCTGTCCATAGGCGGCAGAACTGGGGGGGGGGGGGGGGTGGCACCAGGGTACAGTGCCCGCCATAGATTTTGGCATTTTAGCATTAGCCCTACTGGCGTTGCAGAAAGAATGGGACCAAAATGAAAATCTGCAGTGCCCTGCTGCCACTGCATCTGTCTGTACTGTTTGTTCTTTGAATTAAAGTGGCTGTAGCTTGTTGATAAGATTGTCATCAGTGCTGTCATGAAAAAGTTACAATTGGTCACAAAAAGTAGCAATATGCATGTTCTTGGTTTATTTTAAATGTAGTACAAATGTTGTCTATTTAAATTCAAATTTAATGATGATACCTAATGATCACAAGTGGTCTTAACCAATAACCATGTCTAAAGTGATAATTCTCAATTGTATTGCACTGTAAGGTGTACAATTATGTAGGATAAGGGTTTCATTGGCTACAGGTTGTCGTGAGATCCATACAGATCATAGGTCCTCCACAAATTTTTGCCCGCTGGATCCACAGAGATCATAGATCCGACCCCTAAATTTTGTCGAGAGATCCATTCAGATCATAGATCCAACCCCTGAATTTTGTCGAGAGATCCACTCGGATCATAGATCCAACCCCTCTATTTTGTCGAGAGATCCACTGAGATCATAGATCCAGCTCTCGGATCCAAGCACATGTCTGCCCGCTACACAGTTACACAGGACACACAGCTGTTCAGCGACCCCGACCACACAGTACACGGGACACACATTCAGCGCCCACACTGCACAGCACACAGAGCCCAGTCACCACCGCCCGGCAGCGCGACCATCAGTACCGACAGCCAGCGGTAGCAGCGCCCAGTACCGGCCCGGTACCGCCGGCCGACAGACTGACCTTTCCCTTGCGGATGACCTTCTCCACGGCCTCTCGGATCATGTCGCCGTGGAACTGCAGGTTCATGTGGTTGAGCATGTTGGCCGCGCACAGCAGCATCGCCGTCGGGTTGGCCACGTTCTTGCCGACTCCCTGCTGGAACGTGTGCCGCGCGCCCTGCCCAACAGACACAGGTCAGGTCAGGTCAGATCGGGTCAGAGAGGGTCACACCACACAGACGTCAGGTCAGGTCAGAGCGGGTCACATCACACAGACGTCAGGTCAGGTCAGAGCGGGTCACATCACACAGACGTCAGGTCCAATAGAAGAAAAGAACTCAGGCAAGCTGAGGTCAGAGGCCAGCTCAGGTCAGGTCAGACCAAGTCACACAGGTTAGCTTACATGGAAAAGGTCCAACTTTGATCCCCATATGACTCCTGAACAGTGTCTGGTGATATGTCATCCCACACCATCCCAGGTCACCTCCCAGTCTGCCAGCGCCCCGCCCCAGCCGCTGCGCTTTGAGCCCAGTGCCGGTAGCTGGGACGCCGCCCGGCCCCGCCCCGCTCCGAGTCCTGTGTAGATGGCCGGCACGCCATACCCGCCCCGCACCCCCCGCGTCGAGTCCTGTGTGGATGGCCGGCACGCCGCCCGGCCCCGCCCCGCTCCGAGCCCTGTCTCAGCGGCCGGTGCGCGCACTGGCAGGTGGCGGCGTCCGGCGCCGGCGGCGGTCGCGGTCCGGCGCCCCCCTGAGGAGTGCCGGCGCCGCCCGCTGACACATTGTGCCGCCAACAAAAGGTGCCGGTCGCGCCGCCATCGGCCGGTTCCGCGCCGACACCGTCACTGACCCGCCCACCGGCCGGCGGGGGGGGGGGGGCGATCATCGCTCCCCGGGGAGGCGGCCCCGGCTACCGGCCACCGGCCACTGCGGCCAGCAGTGACCCAGCGCTCATCAGTCGGCCGACCCGCGAGAGGTCGCCCCCCAGGGACCAGACCAGGTCGCCCCTCTGGGTCCATCGGCCGCGCGGCCCGCAACAGGTCACCCCCAGGGACCACAGGTCACCGCTGTGTGCCGGCCCGCCAGACGGCCGGCCCGCGAGAGGTCACCCCCCCCAGGGACCGGACCAGGTCACTGAGCTGTGTCTACCAGCCGGGTGGCCCGGGGTCACCCTCTGTACCCACCAGCCGGGGGCCCGGGGTCACTCTCTGTACCCGCCAGCCGGGTGGCCCGGGGTCACCCTCTGTACCCGCCAGCCGGTGGCCCGGGGTCACCCTCTGTACCCGCCAGCGGGGCCGGCGTCACCTCCAGGGGACTAGGGGACAGACCGGGTCACCGCTCCGGCAGCCTCTCCGGGGTCGCAGAGGAATGAAAATCCGGACTAAGGCCGCAGGAACCTGACAATGAACGGGCACTTCGTATTTTCTACTCAGCCGGGATCGTATAACAGCGCAGTGTCTGAAAAGCTCAACATTCCGATAAATGAAAACGGAAGTGTGTACGTAAATGGCATGGCAAAACCACTTTGCCCTAAAATATATTTAAATTGCTGAAGGGACTCAAAGTTACCGAACTCGAGCTGAGGTCCGTGTTGGTTAAATTCCAACCAGCCCTGGACGAATGTATAAAGCGTGTTGGCAATGCCATTATATCAGCCTTTACTCTCTTCCAAGTCGCATCTCAAAAAGAAAACTGATCAAAAACAATCAGTCAAGCTGAGGAAACGGTTTGGTTTCACGCATCATCGCCACGCCACCACCTTATTCTAATGGGCAGCTATGAAAAATGCAGCATTGTCATTTTGCGACTAATAACTTCGCGGCCAACTAATACCGTGGATATGACAATGGAAAGATACGAACTTCCCAGCTCCAGGACACCACGCATTTAACAAAACTCAAAGCGCCTCAGGCACCCCACTTAATCTCCTTGTCAGAAGCTTTACAGAAGGCTTTACCATGCCACTACAAATCTTCCTCGTGGATGATAACTAGGGTTCATTGTTGTCAGTATTAGCGGCCCGGGATCAACCCCCCCCAACCCCAACCCCGGCCCAAGCCCTAAGGCAGCTCCCCATCCAGTATGGTGCAGCACTTGCAAACAAAGCGCTGCCGAGTTGATATGGACTGAGTGAGTTTAACGATGGGACGGACGGGCGGTCGGTCTGCCGGATATCGGCCGTCCCGAGCAGCCCCGATCGCCAACTTTGGCACGACACGCGCCAGTTATCGGCGTCTGGGACATCGAGCCCGTGTCGGCCGCGCTATGAGCGTGAGGCTGATCCCGGCATCGCGTCAAACTTTCAGCGGCGGCCGGCTCTGCGGGACGGCGGCCGCCGGCGCGCGACGCCCGCACCCTTCAATCAGGCCGCGGTGAAACATGCAAGGAAATCGACCCATCGGGTGCAAGCAACAGCGTTCCGCCGGCTGCCGGTCACCTGAGCGGCTGGCTGAACACCAGCAGTTCCCGTCGGTTTGTCACGACGGCAGCGTCGGGTCGGAAAGGCACCCGACACCGCCGCTGACAGCTCGAACCCTCCCCTCCGCTCCGCCCCGCCCCGCCCTGAACCGGCTGACGCGACGGACCGACCACACACCAGTGACCCGATACGGCCGTATCCCTCCGCTCCGCCCCGCCCTGAACGGCTGACGGGCCGCCGCTCCGGTGACCCGACACGGCCGTCGGACGGGGCGGCGGCGGCTCGGCGCGGCGCTCAGTTAATTAGTGGTTGAGCTGAGCTGGTCTCCAGCTGTCGCCGAGTCAGCCCAGCGGCCGAGTCGCCGAGGCCACTCAGGCTCCCCATCGGGACGGATACGGCAGAGGGGGCAGCAGAGTGCAGAGTGCAGAGTGCTGAGAGAACGGCCAGAGAGACACGAAATGCCCCCGAAATACCTTTGCCCATCCTGGCTCCGACGGCACGGCTAATGATGGAAGGTGCACGATCGAATGAAACAGCGTAATAGCAGGCACACCGGTTATCGGTAGTAGGTAGATATTGCTTACGGTGGCTTTTCCTATCTCTATTTCTGTTCTATTACACTATGCAACAGTCATTTTGTTCCTGAGTAACGACCGATTTTTTTGGACTCATTGGGTCCCATTATAACCGAAATGGGCATTTGTTTTGATCTGAAAATGCTTTTCCGGTTTTCAGAGACGATTTTCGATTTTTGGCCCCGAAATTCGGTTTTTGGCCCACTGTGTCCGGTGTAATTGAGTAATCGACTCGCGGTAACTTTCATCGCCCTTCCTATGCCACAAGCTTTCGAATGATATCCGGTTTTGCATATTTGCGTGTAAAAATAGCGTCATAAATCTATGTTAAAGTGTCGTACTGACTTAAAAGTCACCGTCCAGCACAAGAAGAAGATCTATTCTGCTCTCCTCTACACCTTCCAGCCAACTAAACTCACAATCCCCCTCCTGGCACATCCACAGCTCGCAGACACACATCTCACATCATCACCAACCAATCGCGCTGTCATACGTCATATATCTCACATCATAACCAGCCAATCATGCTCCCATACGTCATGCCCGGCCCAGCTACTTGCAGGGTGTAACTCGGCCCTGCCGGCATCAGATGCCGGCGGCTATGACCAACGCTGGGTCACCGGTTCACAGCTCGACGCTGAAGCTGACTCACACTTATACGGCTCACATTCATCCTTGCGTCACGCTACATCACCCCCTGGTTCTGAAGAACCACATTACTCTACATGTTACATGTCATTCAATCAACGCATCAACTACATCCTCTGGCACACCATCGCCATATCTTTCCGGCTCTCTTCGAACACGCGTACCACGCCGCAGCGTCGCAGGCACGAACGTTTCACTCTCGTCTGCGGACACATCGGACCCGGTCGGTGGATCGGAGTCCGGGGACTGAGCGACGCTGGGCGGCCGCGTGTCCGACTCCGTCACATCACTCGGAGCTGGCGACACACACACGCCATCACACTCGCTGTCATCAGACCACTCCACCGTTGGCGCTCGCAGAGCCCCTGGCCTCGGACATTCAGGGACGGTCAACCGATGTCGGAGGTTTCGCACATGTCGTGGGACATTATCGACTTCGATTGTCTGGGCCGAAACGACGCCTGTCACAATACCCTCGTCTGACTTTACAAAACATCGGTCGCCCCGCCGCCGAACCCACACCATGTCCCCTACCTGGTATACACCGGGTTTCTTCAGCGGCAGGGCGTCACCAGGCTCGTCTGAGGTTCTGCGGGGCGTCACGTCAACGTCTCGGCCAGGGTGTCGAAGCACCCCGTTGATTGGAGCTGTGGCCGGGTCACTGCCATCCTTCGGTGTTACGTTGTATCGATGGACTGCTTCAGCAACGGAGCAGGACTGCCGGGCCACCATCACTTTGATGGTACGATGATGGCGCTCGACGATGCCGTTCCCGCCGGGCTCGTAGGCAGCGCGGAACCGGATGGATACGTCCCAGCGAGCCGCGAACGCTAACATGACCCGGCCACGGAACTCTGTCGCATTGTCCGTGAGTATTTCCGCCGGGGCTCCACGCTCTAGAAACACGTTCTCCAGCTCACTCACAATCTCCAGAGCTCCTGCCCGGCGAAGCCGTCGCCATATGGCGTACCTCGACGGCCCGCAGTCCACCAGCGTCAGGTATGGGTGGCCGTGCACGTGGGTGACATCCATGGCCAGGCGATCCCACGTGCGTTCTGTTCCGAGTGACCCACCGGGCCAGCGCTCCGGCGCCGGGTCAATCGAGGCACACGTCTGGCATCGTCTGACCACGTCTCGCACAGCTGGTTTTGACACCCGCCTCACCCCCAGCTCACGTCGGGCGTACCACAACGTTCTCCTCACTCCTTGGTGACCGATGTTTTCGTGGATGGTGCGGATGTCACTCGCTGAGGCACTTGTGATGGCAGCGACAGCCACCGGTTGTGCTTTGGACGAATCAGTGGTTGGCTGGTCGGCAGTCTGCAGCCAGGCGTTGGGCACCCGCGTCACCTCATCAGCACGGTTGACCGCTGACGCGACCAGCTCGATAGTGACCTCCAGTTCGTACTCGATGACGAGCTGACGGAAAACAGCCACGCGCCGTCGGATAAGCATTTCGGACTGCGCCTTGGTTCGCAGCCTTGCCTTACCCGACAGCGCGTCACTCAGCCAGCGGTGCACCGTCACCGAGTCTGTC